CCGCTCGATTAAGGGATAATTTTTGTTCTATTAATTTAATTTTTTTTTATTTGCCACTGGTGAATGGATGTTCCTTCTGGACTCCAGGACCCTTTGGCTGGTGACAGTGCTACTTTAATTCCTTAATAGTATATTAACAACAGTAGCTAAAGACCTATCAGTAGTTACAAATGGTCTTTAGGCTAGTTGGTTGTTACATTTGTTGACAAGCGGTGGTCCTTTAGACTAGACTGGTTGTTACATTTGGTGACAAGCGGTGGTCCTTTAGACTAGACTAGTTGTTACATTTGGTGACAAGCTTTAGGCTAGTTGGTTGTTACATAACTTTATTCTAGTATTTTTTTACATTCGACTTCTGATTTTCCAATTATTATAATATTACACAAAATTCTGAGATGTTTAATAATCAGTTTCATTATTTTAGTAAAACTAAATGGTGACCAATTGTACGGGTAGATACCTGAACACAAATGTTTATTTTCTACTCGTATGGTTCACACCATTCGCCTGCGGTTTATGTTGTAAATATCATACTCGTAGGAAATGAATATCCTTCCTTGCTCGTTAAAAAAATATATATAATATTTATATTTTTTAAGTTTTTTTGTTATTTTAAAATTTACTAAAAGTGATAAATTCAAATCTTTGACTTAAATATTTTAAAAATAGTTATTTTATTATAATTTTTTAAATTTGTAGTTTTTATTTAGTGGGTCGTAGAAAAAATATTCGGTACAACTCTAGTGGATTGTCGTTATGGCACTCCAATGATCTTTGTCTTCGTGCGATAAGGCCATCATATCCACTTTTGTTACACAAACTACTACTGATATCTTACAGTATTGTATTCAATATTCCATTTTGTTGTGATACAAATTTCTAATTATCGATTAAATACTACAAATCGATCACGCGAGATGGAAAGTCATGGTGTTAAAAATAGCGGTCTGTTAAGCAAATAGGTAACAAAACATCAATTGTTTTGTTGGTAACATTCTAACAATGCGTGTTGCTTCAACTTGACTAACTAATAGACCATAGTTAACCGTTGCTATTTAAGATTGCAATTAATACATACTTTCTTAGTTTTTATTTATATACAAGTTCGTTATAACTTATTAATTCGTGTTTAGGAAATGCGTGATTAGGATCTTTTTCAATGGTTATTTTTTCTTTTTAATTGAATTAATCTTAATGATTTTGTGTATTTATGAGTTTTCTTATTTAGATTGGTGGTAATATATTCTGTATTTCGTTTTCTCTTCTCTTCTGCACATATTTGGGTTTTTGGGTGTACAAGAAGGGAACAGTTACTGATATTTTCGAGAATAAAAAGTTGTTTTAAAAGTTGTGTACATCTCAGCATAAAATAACCAATTAGAGGTTTAAAGCCATTCATATCCACCGTATTCTTCTAATTTAACAACTTATGTATTTCGAAAACATAAAATTTCCTTGCAAAATATTTCGTTTAAATAAAAACGTGATCAAGGATTTTGAGAGACTTTGATTTAAGTGCATTAAAATGTTTGTGTTATTAGAGGAAAAACTATTTAAGATTGTCACAACAAAAAATTTGTTATTCCCATTGTGACCATTTACCTTACTTGTAAAATTTTTTCATCAAAATATATAGGTATACAGATTTTTTATATCTAATATCTAATCCAGGTAAAGAACACATTGTAATATTAAAAATTAATATAATCAAAAATACTCTTGCTTAATGTTTTCTTGTTCATGATATATTTGCACGTCATAATCACTACAAAAGGTATTGCTGTTGAAAAAGTGATTAAAAATAAATTTAAAAGGTCAGCAATTTCAGGCACCTAATAATATTTTGATTATATAACAGTTTCATCACAACATATTAAAGTGTTGTATTTGTGGATATCAACAATTAATGATTCACTGTTCAACAATTTACGTTGTAGTGTAATATATAAGAATTCACGATTATATCATATATCACCTGTCTATCTCTCTCTAAATATCCTATATATGTAATATAAATATGATGGCCATTCACCTAGAGGGAATTTCTACACTATAACTGAACCAGTAATGGCTGTAACTCCTTTTTTGGATTAGTAAGATACTAGTAGCAACACAAACCAGTATTTTATTAGTTTGGCACAATTTTAGAATATTGTACTGACTTATTGCAATTTTAAGGTACAGCTTATTTGCTTATCCAACTGCTCTAATGTCGAAATTTTAAATAGTAAGACAATGTCAAGAGCTTTTTAGTAAATCTATTTTAATGGCTGCAAATGCAAAAATATAAGTGTGTCAGTCTGTCATTTAGAGTCATTCAACCAAAGCTATAGTGAAAATTCACTATAACGAGTTTGCACCTACAGTATAAATATAAATATTTTACATGGACAATAACAATAGTATATTATGTTACTAGGAGTAGAAGGCCAACATTATATGTTGAGCCCAGAATGGGTGAAACATATAATGGGCCTTCTAATCCGAGTGACATATACTATTTTTTCTTCAAGCATTTAAATAAAAGTATGGATAAAAATAATTAAAATAAAAAAGCAGAAATTAATAGAATATCTGTAAAACTAAATAACAGTTTAAAAAAATTATGTACCTACCTTAGTTGCTAAATATCTCTTGTTTGGTGCACTCTTAAGAAAGTTATCAAACTCCTGTTTAGAAAAAACGTTTGACTTCTTCGGTTTGTAATTATCACCTTTTCGTTTTAAGAAGGCAATTAATTTTGAATAGTTTTCAATTTTTACATTATGTTTAATATTTAGTTCTGATTTCAGCATTGAATACTGCGACCACATTGTTGAATTGTTGAATTTTTCAGACAAATTAGTAAAATATGCGATCAGAACATTTTCTGAATAAAAATGTACGTGATTTTCTTCACTCACAAATTTTGTGTAAGCATAATCGTAAACTTTCTTCGATTTCGTAGGTATTAAGGTTTGTATCGAAGATTTGGCTATTTCTAGCAATTCGGGAGGTGTTGATTGCATTTTTTCTGATATTTTCTTTTTACTTGAAAAACACAGGTATAACAAACGGGTTAACACTATTTTTTTTATATTCTAAATCATACACTGACAAACGTCAAATTAAATAAGAATTAAAATGACAGTTCCAGCCTACTTGATTGCAACGTTCATAATAAGCCATTTAACATTAGGTTTATGCTTTTTTATACTAGTACAAAAATGAAAAATATTTGTACTAGTATCAAAATAGGCTACTTCTACAACACGTGTACCTTGATATAATGTAAACATTATTATACGCTTGAAGAAAAAATAAATAATAGTCCGCAAGATAAGTTCTGCTTTTTTACATCGGATCAAAAAAGTGAAGCCTTTTAGATCAGGTACATCATTAAAATAGTAGATTGAAGCTTATTGAAACCAATGAAACAGATCTCTCGTATGTATATTTTGCTATTAACTTTGAAATTTTGTTAGCAAACCTTTCGGCCAGGCCTGGCACAATGTGATAGCTACTCTACTGCTTTTTTCAAAATGAATAGAGTAACTTTAGGTTCAGCTGTACAAGGGAGACCATTCCTATTATCAACGATATAATTTTAGCCAATTCTAAGGTAACCTTAGATATCTTACAATGAGCTCTACATTTTGAGAAAGATCACAACTTATTTTTATAAGGATAATATTGAAATTTTATGCTTATGACCCAAAAACACCTCCAAAACACAATCTTGCATTCAAATGAGTGGTTCAGTTGGAGAGTTGCCTAACCAAAAATTTATTGAAAGTGAGTAAATGAGATCAAAGCACTTTACGTGTGTCTACTAGACGTAACTGCCTAATCTTTATGTATAGATATTGGCAACAAAAACGAATAATTTTAAGGAATGGGCAACTTCGGCACACACAGAAATGATTAAAATAATAATATATAAAAAGAGGTTGTTTTGAAAATTTGTGGTTAAGGTAACTCTGGCACTGAGCCACTCAAATAAAAAACACACTATAATCTAGGTTTAATAACTATCTAGCTGTAACTAATGAAAACTTCTTTACAATATTCAGTATTTGAGATAATTTTGTCAACAATTTTAATCTTTTTAAGAAGGATTTAATTATTAAAAAATCTACCTATTCTATGGTGGTTCTAAAGTACTTATTATAAATCTAAAACTGCAATAGACGAAAAAACACTAGTTTTTGTAAAATTCGTCCATCGACCAAAATCCTAAAGAAGCATTTTCTTAACTACCAAAATTTTAATAGGCCAAATAGGTGACAATTTTAAAACGCAATTGTTCAAACACAAATTTTGAAAATGTTCAGTTGATAGAACATTCTTTGTAATATTTTTTACCACATCCTTTTAATATTTATTTATTTTATAAATAATATACTAAAAATATAAGAGTTCCAAAATAATTTTATAATTTTTTATATAGTAAAAACAAAGAAAAGTATTCGATATACATTGAAATTTATTTAATCAGAAAAATGTGTTTTATATTAACTAGCCATAATAAATAGATGCGTAATAAAAAATTAAATGTTTTTATGATTAAAATAGGTCTTCATCTCTTTTGAGAACAATTTTTTGGAAAATAATAAATCTCATTGAGCTTGGATAAAAAAATTGACACAAATATTAAAAAACCAAATATCAAAATTCATTAGAATCACAACATGCGAGCAGGCTACAAATTGTTAATTTATTTTTACTTGTTTTTTTAAATTATTTGACAATTTGAATATATTTTGATTTTTTAGTTTAACTATCAAAATTATACATACAAATTAAATTTTACCATATTCATATAGATAAAAATCTATGTTAACGAAAGAAAACATAATTCAAAAGATCTAAGATATAACTCAAATAAATTTAGTAAAACGGTATATTGAGAAAAACTATTTATTTTGTTTCTAGAATTTTCAATTAGGGTCCAAATATTTTTCTTGAAAGAAAATGAGTTTATTTAAAAATTGAAAATAAAATAATGGTCTGTTACTTACTTATTAAACACTAGTTTATCACTTGCAGGCTACACACCTGATGGCTAGACGATTACTGAATTATCTTCATAAGAAATGTTGCGTGAAAGTAAAAGCAGAGGGAGAGTAAATCTCGAAAACTTTCGCGTTTTACGTATGCCACACTCTGCAGAGTGTTCTGTTCTTCGACGTTGGCCCACACTCAGAACCAAGAACAGTTAATACGAGAAATTTTAGGTTATTGAAGTGAGAATTCTACGAAAATCTAGTGTATTAAGAAATTTTCGGTTTTATTATGCAAAATAACATAATTGAAACTCTATTAAATCCTATTAAGACCAAACCAGCAGGATCGAAGACCCGGGCAGTACTCGAGTAAATTGTACTCAAAAGTGTACAAAGGGCGACTCCAAGATGAATTTTCGGGGGGGGGAAGGGGGTGGCATTGCCTTTAGATCAGCAGTTCTCAAACTTTTTTGGTGACGGATCCTTTTTGAAACGCGAAATATTTGACGGAGCCTTAAACCCATTTCTAAAAAAAAAGTTCTCTGAGTAAAATCCTCCTTGCTCTAGCCTCTTGCTAGGTCCCTCCCGTTTCTTGCGGAGCCCCTACAACAATCATATCATCCTTCCACTGACTTCTAAAAAAAAAAGTCCTCATACCAAAAAACCAATATACCAAAATCGTATACTCCTTCCTCTTACTGACTTTTAATAATAAAAAAAAGTCCTCAATCCAAGTCCCGTTGTAGCGGTAGGTGCTGCTTTTTTGTTTCTTCGCGGAGCCCCCTAAAGGCTTTGCGGAGCCCCCACAAAGGCTTTGTGGAGCCCCGGGTCTCCGCGGACCACACTTTGAGTAACGCTGCTTTAGATATTCCCTTTTTAGCATATTTTTTTGAATAAAAGGCTCATAACTCGAATTTTCTTCTCGGGGAGGGGGGGCTATGACCCCCCTGGAGCCGCCCTTGAATTGTACTCGAGTATTCAAAGTACGCAGTAATTGGTATTCGTAAATTCTTTCATCCTGATGGGACTCTTACTCAAAAAATTTCGAGTACTTTAGAGAACTGCATTTTTTATTATTACAGCTGACGAGTAACGAGTACTACTTACGCACGCATATATATTATAATGATTCCACGTTGGAAAGGTTAAACCATTTCAATATCCTGGAGCTTTTAGGGTTATGGCTCCTCTGGCTTACCACAAAAATTTCAAAAAAATACTAATCGATAAATGTTGAATTTGAAAAAATATCAACCTTCCGCTTTGTTTTGCTTCTTTCGTCTTGCTATCTGTTCTTCTGTTCTTTGCATTGTCTCCTTACTTTCTTTACCTCCTGTTCTCCTGCCTGGTCTGCTCTTGCTGTTTTACTCTACTATATCCTCCTTCTGATGAACTCTCCTTCCTATTCCATTCACACTTTAATTTAAACTCTTCATCTTTCTATTTTATTGTTTTTTTTTTTCATCTCTACGATATAAAATCTTCAACTTTAATATCTATTTATCTATCTTAACTTTAATATAATATTTTTTGACTTTTTTTTATTTCCCAACTGACAATTGAGGAGCATTGGAGCAAAACCGAATAAATCCACTTTTTATGAAAATTAAGTTAGCGACAGATTTCAACTTACTTTGTTAAATTACATCTTTATAGACTACCTGTCCGAGCAAAACCGAATAAATATTTGTAAAATTAATTGTCGAAATTGATGTGTTTGTGCAAAACCGAATAAATCCACTAGTAAAGTGGTGTAAACAACACATCAGCATTCGCTGTAGTTTAAAAGCAGTTTGTAAGAGATATTTCTTTATTTTCATTTGTTTTTCCTCTTATATTAGTGCGGGTAGTTTTGAATTTTGATTTGGGTAAAACTGAATAAATCATTTTTTTTGTCATATTTTTAACAAAAATTATTTTTCAAAATTATAATTGCAGAGGGTGTATTATTTATGATGCCTCCAATATTATTGTTTTCACCAAACAAACGAAAAACCAGTACTTTTTGTCTATTTGGAAAATCGTGTTTTCCCAAAAATCGTTTATAGTGGATTTATTCGGTTTTGCCCCAAAGCTCCTCAATTCTACAACTCTCTCTCAATCTTCCCAAAATGTATCTAGTCCAGGATCCGTAAGTAAGGTCGGCCCTCACCGATATGTTTAATGGATAAAAGTTTTTTTTGTTAAATAAATTATGTTTTTAAGAATATCGCAAATGGGTTGCCTAAGAAAATACGGTCAAGCCCATTTTTTACTTTCCTTTCTGTGTATAGGTAGGGAAAGTATATGAATTATGATAAAAGTTGCTTATGATCTTATTATCTATTATTTTGTCTTTATACGTGATTTCCCTGAAATGGACCTAATTCGAGATATTTGAGGAAAAGTGCAAATTTCGAATGTTGAAGATAACTACAAAACGGATGAAGATAAAAACACCAAATTTTAAACTTAAGCTTTAATAGGTCCTGTAGTGAGCTGATTAAAGTTTGCGCATAGTAGAAGCATCTGGGGAATACTTTACAGGGTGTCGTATTCTTTACTTTAAGAAAATAAATAGTCTGGACCGTATTTTCTTAGGCAACCCATTTGCGGTTAATTTAGAAACATATTTTATTTAAAAAAAAAAGAAACTTTCATCCATTAAACAGATATATGAAGGTCGACCTTACTTCGGATCTTAGACCATTAAATAGGTAAATAGGTAAGTGTAAAACTAGTTTTTGGATATATTTATATTAGAATTTCTAATAGACCCGTAGATATGGATAATATTTGGAATTTAAATTATAAAATGCGTGCACGGAAAAAATATGACTAGAAAATTTTACTACAATGTTGTAGTAGTAGACTTGTAGCAAAATACTTTTTGTAGAAAATTTTACTACAATTTATAGTTAAAAACTATTCATTATTGTAGCAATTGAATTGTCGAATAAAATGCTACAACAATAGGAAAGAAGTCTACAATGTTTAGTATATTTTACTATTGTTTGTAGAAGTAGAAATTTATTACAATTATCGTAATTACTACTACTAACTTCTGTAAAAATGTGTACAAATATTAATAATTATTTCTACAAAAAATAGTAATATTCTCTACAAAAAATAGTAATACTTTACATCCCTTCTTATGAAAAAAATTCAATTTTGTTCAAAAATATTCTATAATATTGTAGAAATTCTAAGTCATGTGAATAAAACAGAATTCTGCTATTGGCCAACGTTTTCTGACGTCGATCATAAATGGCCAGACAGCAGTAGCCATTCGCCATGTTCACAAAACAAAGCATGGTACATATACGAATACCCATAACACATTATTATATTATAAGCACCGATGTGTTTGAGAAAATTTTAATAATAATTTCTATTAGTGGTAAGTACATTTATTATTGTTTCTGAATAATTTACCTTTAGATAACTAATGTAAATAACCTTAGTAGATTATTTAAAAAAAAATAGTTGTGGTCAACGATCGAATGTTGTGCCCAACGATCGAATGTTGTGCCAAGTTCAATGATGTTTTTTTGTCTTAATTGTGACATACCTACTTTCTCATTTTTGTTAGTTATCTGACTTAGTAATTTAATATCCAAATCAGTCTAAAGGTGATAAATATCCCCATTTTAAGGGTATGAACAGTTCAATCGGTATTAATTTTTACATATTTTTCAGGTGCAGAAAAGCCAGAGACTGAGGGCGCTATTATTACTGTTATTTATTACATAATGTAATTAAGACTTTGTATCTTTTATATTAAAACAATAAATTGAATATTTTATTAAGGAACATTTTTTCTAGGTTATAATTATAATAACTATAAAATACTACTACAAATTTTATTAAAAATTACTACAATTGAGGAGCTTTGGGGCAAAACCGAATAAATCCACAATAAACGATTTTTGGGAAAACACGATTTTCCAAATAGACAAAAAGTACTGGTTTTTCGTTTGTTTTGTGAAAACAATAATATTGGAGGCATCATAAATAATACACCCTCTGCAATTATAATTTTGAAAAATAATTTTTGTTAAAAATATGACAAAAAAAATGATTTATTCAGTTTTACCCAAATCAAAATTCAAAACTACCCGCACTAATATAAGAGGAAAAACAAATGAAAATAAAGAAATATCTCTTACAAACTGCTTTTAAACTACAGCGAATGCTGATGTGTTGTTTACACCACTTTACTAGTGGATTTATTCGGTTTTGCACAAACACATCAATTTCGACAATTAATTTTACAAATATTTATTCGGTTTTGCTCGGACAGGTAGTCTATAAAGATGTAATTTAACAAAGTAAGTTGAAATCTGTCGCTAACTTAATTTTCATAAAAAGTGGATTTATTCGGTTTTGCTCCAATGTATGAATTTTTACTATTTATTGTGTAAAATTTTCGTATTTATTTTCATAAAACGCAATACATTTTTAATATAAATTCATACAATGAATAGCAAAAATTATAACAATTTGTAGAACAATTCTTATGATGCATTTGGATATTTTTACTAAATATTGTAGATAATAACTCATTATCATCAGCATTACAGAAAAAAATGATCTACTATCGTTGAATTCAGAATCCTGGCAGTGAGGGAATGTTAGGAATATGTGAAAAATGTTTACATATTCACCATAATACAATATCTTTAAAACAAGAATTATTCCTTTTATCATACAAATTATGCCAATCAAACAAATAATAATTATTGTTGACTCAATGACAGTATTTTTCGCAAATTTCATCGTTTCAACTAAGTATAATTAATTGGAGTACCTACCACAAATTATATAAGCATAAAAAATAAACTGGAATGAATATTTTAAATTATTTTATGCTAATTACCTTTTCTAATCTTTAACGTCTGATATTACAATTACGGTTCAACTTTAAATACATCGATTATCATTCTATATTCGAGATCATTAAACAAAGCCAATCGAATTGAGTTTCAACCAGCTGTCATCCATTAAAATATAGTCCGGTTTTCTTAGGAATACTTTCATTTGTTTTAAGAATGCTCATTCATATTATGTGCTTATATATACAGGGTTCAAATAGAACAAAGTATTTTTAACGATGGATTTAAATATGTAGATGACTGGCGATTGATATTTTCTCGTTAGCTTTTTAGGTTATAATACTCATTGGGGGTTGAGGGAGCTCGCTTTGCCACAGGCACAAGAATAAATAACATATTTATTATTGTGTCACAGCATGTTGATTGCCCACTTTAGACAGCCCAAAGTGATTGAAAAATTGGCTAACACAGCGATTATAAAACATTGCTAGTAAAGCGAAGAATAGATGTGCCACAAAATAAACTCCTGGACAAAATTAAC